CATAAAGAGAATTTCCCTCCACAAATCATGTAGTGCTGCTAAAAAAACCCCGCCCGTATCTGCAAAATATTTAAAAACATCTTAACAGAAAGATACCCACTACTTAGCATTCTCTTTGTCAATTACAGTTAGACAAAGTATACTGCTTTATTTCCTAGTCAACTGTTTAGGTATGGAAACAAAAATGTATTTTGGCAAAGAAATGTTTTTAAAAGAAAACCACATACTGTGGTCAAAACACCAAGCTGACCTTTTAAAAAATTAGGGGAAAAAAATGCAGTTTTTTAAGCCAAGTTATAAACTCCTGAAAAAACAAAGTTTTATAATCACAAGTTTTGCGTTTCCAGAAATGTCTAGTTGCATAGTTGCAAAGTGTTTTCAAATGATACAAGAAACATCAAGAAACAGTTACAAAGCTGTGTACAAAGAATGAGACCTACATTTATGTCTTTGAAAACACTACACCTTTCCACGCATGTTTTTTGTTATCACAGCATACCAAGAACAAACTTAATGAAGGTGGTCAGTATGAGCTATCTGACTTGCACTTTTTCAACTAAATTAGCTTCTTTAGTAGAAGACTACATTCCCCTGCAGGCTTTGCCTTTTTTTCCTGGTGGAAAAAAAAAAAAAAAAACAAAAAACACCAATGCCTAAAATGAACACCTCTGAAGAAAAACAGAAAAAAAAAGCATGTCTGAGTCTTTTTTGAAAAATCTAGACTTCAGTATTTTATCAAAAAAGGTATGAGCATCTCATGAAAAATAAGATTTCCATTTGCAAATAATGATATGTTAAATACAGTTTGTGCAAATCTTACTAAATTAAGCATGCAAAGTTGACCTTTAATCATACTGCTGTCACTTATTTAGAAATAAATTCAACAAAACAGCTTCTGTGTCATAATTTATTTCAAAATCAATGGGTTATAGGATTTGTCTTTTTTATAAAGCACCAAATTTAGAAAGGTAAGAGTACAAAACTCAAAAGAAAAATTAAGAGGTAAAAGTTATTTACAGTCCGATACATGCACACTCTTAATTTCAGCACCTATTTGTAAGCCTGAAATGGCCAAGTCCTTTCCCAACTGTTAAACCAGCTTATGATTGCAGAACATTTGAAGTTATTGAGCTGAATTTTGTAACAAGCCAAAGTTTAAGATACTCCCCCACAGCTTACATTCTCGTTCTAACATCACATCACCCTGTCAACCACAAAAGTTTCTCTAAAATTAAAAAAGGGGAACTGGTTGAGTTTCATGAGAACAGCAAGATCTTCCCTGATAGTTTTTGGACATCCTCCTTCTAGTTGCTGCAGGTAAAACAGCTTTGAGGGTCAACAGTATCTCCAGATAGATGATGTAAGAATTTCCACTTGTTTATACTGCATTTGTTGTGTGCCAATTATTAAGACAAAATTATTAAGACACGAAATAGTTTTAGAGCAGTGGAATTTCCCCGGAAATGCAAAAAAAAAAAAAAAGTGAGATCTGAAGTGTTGCTCTGAAGCAAGCAAAGTGGTTCCCATTCCTTGTTGTCTGCAAAGCAACTGCTTAACCATCACTTTACAGCCTAGTTTTATGAGATAAAAACTGATTTCAAGTTGTTTTCATATCCCAAGTTATAAAACCACAGAAATTTAACTACTTCAAAAGAAGCCAAGCCATCCACACACTGGGGACAAACCTACTTAACCCACTAAACAGAACCTGCCTGCTTCGTGAGTCAGTGTCTTAAATACCGAACATCCTAAAAGATAAGGGTGTGGGAGGAAAAAATAGGACTTGGGAAGCTTAAGCAGAGAAGAACAAAAGAACCATTGACTAAGTAACCTGAAGAGGAAGAAGAAAATTGCAAGTGAAAAGAAAAGCGTATTAAATCTTTTAGAAAAGTTTCAAAGAAAGATGAATTTTACATCACTTTTATATATAAGTGTTCTAAAGACTTAGGAGATTTTTGAAAAAATGCATACATGCACTGTTAGGCCAGGAAAAATAAAAAATTATGTTTCAAAAAACATACTACTCTGCTTCTTTTTCTTTGCATTTTGGTACTTATTTTGTTATGCCTGGTTTTGCATGTACAGAAAGTATTAAAGACTGGTTTTTGGAATCCATGCAAAATCTATACTTTTGTTTGCTTTAGACATCATCTCACAGGTATATATAATCTGAAAATCCAGCATTTTAAGAATACTGGAGTTCTAGAGGATGTTGCATATTAACTGCTTCTATGGAGCCTAGAATTCAAAACTAGAGCTGACAAAAGGGTAAGAAAAGAGGAAAGTTATGGGCTGCAAGGCGCACTTATAAGAGTGTACCAACTAAAGCACATGCTAGGAAAAAAAAAAAAGACACCAAGGGAACAATAAAGGAAAAAGAGCTTACAAAATCACACGCAGAAGAGCACCTTTGCTGACAAAACAAGTTAGAGGTGCAAAGGATCGCTATGTGGCACAGCAATGCACAAGTGTGAGACTGACCCATGCCACTTCTGTTCAAGGAACTTAGAAACACAACCATGGCATTATGTTTGCATGGCTTTACACCCAATTCCCTGAGTATTTTCAAGGTATGAATTAACCCAATGATTAGTCAAAAAAGCATTAACTGAGATGTCTGAAACGGTATCATAGATATCAAGGGTGGGTTTTTTCCCTTTTGTTTTATTTCCTATTTTATTGTTGCAAACATAAGCAAGGGAAGCAGGCTGCAAAATTACTCTGAAACAGCAGGTTGTTACAAACTTAGACTAAATGCTTGAGGGTGGGAGGGGGAGAGAATAGCGTTTGTTTTCTGGACTTCAAAAAACTCAGAAAAACAACCAGGACAACCAACTCAAAATCCCTATTCCCTGTCTTGCAGCCTTACCCTATGTTATCTCTTCTTTAATTTACGTACTTGGAACGTGATGTGTGACTAGGCAGGGGAAATGGAAGAAGAGGAACATAATCCCAGATCAACATGCCTACGAAAACAGGCTAAATCTCTCTGACATGGAAAAGGCCGGCAACTTATGCCTCACTGTATCTTGTCCTGGTCCCTGGAGAATCCGTTGGATACTGCAAAGGAAGGAGTGGGAAAGGGAGAGGCATACTTCATTCCCCATCTATTACCACAAAAGTTTGCTGGAAAAGGTCTATCACTGCACAAAGAATTCTCTTGCAGCAGAAATTCCTCTTACTAAAATAAAATAAGTAAGAATAATCTTACCTTCCTAGTTCTTTTGATTCAAGCATATAAAAATTGTAGAAATTGTCTGTCTTGATTTGTGTCTGCAGAGATGTAGCTAACAAGCCAGAAAGGCTTTTATTCTCCAACTTTCTCCTCGACATATTCAGGAACAGGTCTCTCTATTCAACCAGTCACCTGTTAAAGCAAAATAATTAAAAGTTTTGGAAATCCCATAATTACAATGCAGGAAATTATACAAATATTAAAGTCTATCAGACTAGAATAGCCTTAAGTTTGTTCAGCAGTGACCTGAAAACAACACATTTAATCACTGTAAAAATAAAACCTGAAAGGAAGACTAATCAAGACATACAAAGAAAATTAATCACAAGACTTTTTTAATAAATAATTTTAATATTTGAGATAAGGTGAGTTTTTTTTCCCCCCTGGAGCATATCAACAAAATATTAGGGATAAGCTTCAGTTCCAGTAAAAATGTAGTTATTAACTACTTAACTATTAATGGTATGTGCTTTTTTTTTTTTTTTTTTTTTCTTTTTTTACCTTTCTGCAAATAAGTTTTAACTCTTCTTTGGATTCTGGGTAAGTTCCAGCAATTCTCTTAAATTTACACTTTTAACTTGTATCCCTGGGGTACTTAACCAAAATTCCTTCCTGTTTGTTGTCTGCAACACAGCAGG